CGCATTTTTCTAGCTGCTATATCCCCCTTACCATAGACATAGCAATCTACGTTATATTTGGCTTCATATTTATTACCATTTATAATTCCTCCCATAAAGATACATAAAATAAAAATATTAAAAAAAACAGTGTACATTTTCAATCCACCATTCTGTTTTATTATTATTTTCACTGAGGCATTTCATAACTTTCGAACTGATCATACTAATTATTTATTATTCTTTTTATTTATTTATTAGAAACCAATCAAATCAATATGGAATACACAATTGTATACGTTCTATCTTCCATCCAGCATAGATTTATTATAATGAAAATTGTATGTATTTGTTTATCTGTTATTGCAATCATATTCTGATTGTATTTGTTTTAATAAAATATTAAAGTTAAATTGAGAAATGTGGGAAGTTTTGTTTTGTTAATTAATTAACGTTGGTTATTTGATATTGTCAGATTATATAATACAAATGAATTAGGTTAATTATCCCAATAACTAACTGGTCATTTATTTTATTCTTATACACACCTCTCCCCCTATCCATACATACAAACACGCGTAAACAACTACACATGATATATTTTAGTATCTATTTTATAATAAAAAAATGTTTATTTTTTCATGTGTGTATGTGTTTGGATTGTGGGGGGGGGTGGTGGTGGAGGAAAATGGTTGTTGAACGTTGTTGTTTTTTTTCCCAAGGTTTAGATAGCTTCAATTATTCAACTTGAAATATGCATATATTTGTATAATTCAGTTATGATTTGTCCATTTGAAAATAAAACAATTAATTGTCATAAACATTTGAACTATGATAATAATTAACTTCTCTGAGATTAATGATTTAATCTTTGGTTAAATATACTCTCTCTCTCACACACACACACACAAGGTAATTGAATTTGGCATAAGGAAAGGAATACGTTGAAATGTATATACCCACATATTTAGTCAATATTAAATGAAATCAAGTGACTTTGTTTAATCAATCATTCAGTTGCCTTCTCATTTGATCTGAACTATATCTTTATTATAAAATAGCTACTGAAGAGAATAATAAATTTGGTTTGAATGAAATATGAAGAGAAAGCTCATATATAGGGAATGAATATGAATAAATGTAAATGTTATATCTAGTCAATATAACACTAGGTATATACTACTAAAAAGTTCTAAATAGAATGTAACAACATCACAGTATACCTTGATTTTCAATTGTCCTATAGGTTGCTATCTAATCTTACACATATCTGTGAAATACATATCTACATTATAACGCTGTAAGCATTCAGTGGCAAATTTTGGTTACTTACTATCTGGAAAGCTGTGTCATAATATTTACATCCGTAAATCAGGATGAAACTGCTGAGGATAGTGAACATAGCTGTTTTTAAAGCTGTAGAGTCCTATTGCCAATAAATACCAACCAATATAAAACTTAATTTCATGAATTCTTACCAACTATCTTCAATCATCTAGTAAATATAATTATACCATAGAAACGAAATTAATCAGTATTATCTATAAAAATCTAATACCTTACTAAAACCTAATTTCAGTAATTTCATTCCATGGAAATGATGCATAATTATCATTCCTTAGGAATTTGTAAAATATAAACATCATACGAAATTTGTGGTTGATATCCGTCATGGATTGGCAGCACTCATGGATATCTCTTACTTCCTAATGCATAAAATTACTGAGTACATGAATATCTATGTTCCCGAATGGAAAACTTAACTTGTAGATCAGTTTGTAGGGAATCAATGGTATATGTTTTCAATCTCAATCAATTCGCCATATGACAAGATATTCATCTAATGAGATTAATGATGAGTATCACCTTTTGATTTGACCGAACTCGACACAATTCATCAATAAGCAGATGACCATATTTTAGTAAAAAAAGTTTAATACGGCTGTTCGTTTCTTCCTGGTTTTTTAAAGCTAACTCTGGTTGATGACACTTTAAATTAAGATAAATTAAATTGTTTACTTGAATTTTCAATAGTTGAAATCATGAAACAATTGGTTCTAGACAACCATGGAAAACCTGGAGGCACTGGACGGCCATTTCGTCCCAGTATGGGACTCCTCATCAGTGTGCATCCACGATCCCGCCCCCCCACGAGATTCAAACCCAGGACCTATCAGTCTCGCGCCCAAGCGCCTAACCATTAGACCACTGAGCCGGCCGGTATCCAACAGTGTTAATGTCTAACTTCAACCAACCCACGAAACTACGCCACCGTACACCATTGTCTTCAGTGAGCTGATATCTTACTGGTAACGGGCTCTCACTAGAACTCCAGGAAATGCCTCTTGAAGTCAGTCACTAGTGAACAAATGATTATTATTAGAAGTGGTTGTGTGGAGATTTTAGAAATTTCAATAGTTCAAATCATGAATCAATTGAATTTTCCCATTGATATTTAGGACTGCAAGTAATCAGTCTCATATTGGCATATGTACATACTGTGCGTATTGCCTTAATTCGCAAGCTTTATAAGTAAAGATGGATAATGGCTAGTAGTGGAATACAGGATGCGTGTTTCATCCTATTTGGGACTCGTCAAGTGGATGTACCTATATCTCATAATTGATGTTCACTCTAGGACTCGAACCCAGTACCTTTCATTTCAAACGCCATCGCGTTATCTACTTATTATAAACCATATTTGGCTGATATTTTATTTAGAAAAAAACAGCCAGAAATAAGTTTAAATAAAAACAACTATTGATTTATTATTAATATACTATTTCTCTTAACTAATTTATGAATATGATTATGTATTTAATTATTTACTTGAGCACATAAATATTGGTACAAAGGGGCACCGAATGGATATGTGTGTGAGCTGTAATACTATTCGGATGACCAGACTGGAACAGGTATGATTATGTAATACAACAAGTATATAGAAAGTGTGATATAGTAAAGAATAATCAATATGTGAAAGATAATTTTTTTTTCAAATGTTTTATTAATATTTATAAGGTCAATTGCAAAAATCGATATGGTCATCAACAATCTGAGTTGTTCTCATAATAATAATAATAATTATTATTATTATTATTATTATTATTAACCTATAATGGTAGAGATTCAGATGGATTCCGTTAACATCAGAAAATATTATTGTAAAAGTACATTTTATATAAACTAGATAAGATTTCTTAACACAAATTTGAAGGTTATTTCATGGATTTAAAGTTACTTCAAAGATTCAATTTGAGATTTTTGTTTAAATAGATCATCGGGACTAAATTATTATCAGAATCGGTTTGCAGAGATTTTAGAAATTTCACAGATTGAAATCATGAGTCAATTGAAGCTAGACCATTATGGAAAACCCGGAAGCACTGGACGGCCGTTTCGTCCTAGTATGGGATTCCTCGGCAGTGCACATCCACGATTCCGTACCCCGCGAGATTCGAACCCAGGACCTATCAGTCTCGTGCTATGCGCTTAACCAACTAAACCACTGAGAATTTGTGTTAATATTCGTTAACGATCACATAACAAATAGTCTCAGTTATATGATTTTTGTGTATATTTTCTTGTGAAAAATTGTAAACATTAGAGTTTAAACAAGTCGAATGTTAGAGAGTTGTTTACCTCAGGTAATAATAGATGGTTGGTCACTATCATCAGTTTATTGAAGTTACACCATCGGTACCTGGTTCAGTAGTATAAAGGTCAAGTGTTCATGCGCGAGTCTGGAAGTCATGATTTCGACTGCCTGTAGTACATTTGGCAACGTACACAGTTGAAGACATCCACATTAAAATGGAATATCTAACTAATCCTGATCGGTTTTCATTAGTTGTTTAACTAACACCAGTCCCTGATTTAAAATTTATATATTATCCTAGAACTGTAAACTGTACAATTCTGACCTCACTATGTCATGTGAACAATTAGATTATTTAAAGGAAATATTCAATATTAATTCGTGTCTAATTAGATTACTCTTTTTTTCAATCCATTTATACACCGCTTAATATCGCATGTCGAGATAGGAGATGGTTATTCATAGATAATACATATTCCAATCGCCTTATTCATATCAGAAGGGGATTTTATGAATATTATAGTAATTTTAATAGTTAAGATCATAAGTCAGACAGTCAGTAACAACGTAGAACTTCGTACGTACGGACATCAGTTCGAGTTGCCATACGACATTAGCACAGAGATGCAGTTGTCGATTAAAATCCCATAGTAGTAGAGGTAGTAAGAGTATAAGCAGTAATCGGAAAGATTAGGGTTTGAAGATCTTATTCAAGGAGTATAATCCAGTGAAATAAATTTGGAAAGAAAATAAAGGACATGAAGAATTCAGAAGATTAGAATCTAGGAGAACACAAAGAGTGGATGCACTTGCACCATTGCAAACGATTTTGAGACATGTCATTCAAAGTTTCTAACCATCGGTTGCTATCGTCTCGCGGTCCCCAACCAGGTGGTCTATACCTACCGACATGGCTTAGTGCACTTGTCAGTGACTTCATGGATTTGTGCCATGTTTTTGTTTGGCTGCCCCTAGCTTTCTTCCAACCTACTCCTATACCACTGAACATCAAACGTCGAGGCAGTTGGTGGTTGGGCATACGTAACACGTGTCCCAGCCATCTCAACTGATGAAGTTTCACTACTTCATCAGTTGATTTGCCATCGTTACCTAGTACCCGTTTCCTAACAACTGTGTTACTTACTCGATGATCCCAGGATATACGAGTAATGTTTCGAAAACACCTATGATCAAATACTAGTAACCTACGAATATCCTCTACTCTTACCGGCCACGTTTCACTTGAAACTAGACCACCGTATAAAGCTTGGAAACATTGAATGATCATTTCGTCCTATTATGGAACTTCTCAACAGATTCAACCCATTTAATGTATCTACCTAACATTTTATGTTTCTAACCCAAAATTGAATCATTCACTTTTCATTATCAACATTAGTTAATAATAATGACAACAATATCATTTATATAAATCAATCTCTTATTTATATTCTATGCACAAAAGTAATAATAATGAAAAGTTACAAAATAAGTAGAAAAATAAATAAGTAAATGTTTACAAAATAAACCATCAAACTATTTGATAATAGTAATAATAAAACAGGTAACTTTGAGATGAACATTTGGATATAGAACTCTATATATAAACTAATGTAAACTATCACTTAATAGAATGATACAATGTGATTTTCAAATTGATCTTCACTTTCAAAAAGTTGAGATCATGAATCAATTGAAATTGCTACAATCTCCACAAAACCCTCTTCTCATACTGATCTTTACTTATTGACAGGTTAAATGAATACCGATCAAATGGAAGAATAAGAGATCAAGTTAATGTAATGGATGAATAATTGTCAATAAAAGTGTTTGACTTTTTTGAAATAATTCTTGTAATTCATGAATTGTGAATTTAATTGAATCAATTTTATTTACTTGAATAATTTCATCACCAATAGATATTTGATTCGTTGGATTATTTTCAATGAATCGTTCTGATAAACGAGTAATACGATAACCTGTGAGAAAAAAAAAGAACAATATAATTAAGCAACAGTTCATTATTATAATGATTCTAATAATTAGCATAACATATTAACAACCACTATTAAAAACATAGATAAAATGGACAACCTTTTCGTCTTGGTGTAGGTCTTCTCAGTAGTGACCATCCATTATCCTACATAGAGGGAGTGAACAAAGAACATTCGATCTTGTACTCAAATGCTTAATCTCTGGACCAGTGAATCAACAAAATGGTTTTATTGTTTGAAATTAATCGGTTCATGATTTCAATGAAATTAAACAACCTCTACAACCTCTTATTGATAAAATTTAACTTATTTTTGTTCACATGTTTGAATCACACTTTCATAAGCAGGTTAGTGACTGTATCAGTTTACTTAAATTAATGTAAATGAAATAAAAATCACTAAGCCCCCAAATGCCCTGGTACGGCAGAGAGTGAGGAGAGTCCGCTCTCCCTCTCGAAATGCTATCACATGGCCACGTGTATATAGCCTCTGTCAGGGAAGTCCTACCCCCTGCCTTCTCGTGGCGGGGGTGTTGTTTACGAAATTGAGAGGACGATAAGTGAATGTCCGGAGCTTTAACCGGGTTGGTGGACAAGGAGAGTCCACCTGAGGGAGTTGGTAAACCCTGATTTCAAGCCAATGGTTTACATGGGCTCCAGTATCCTGAAGGAACAAATGGCGTATGAACCAATGGTTGGTCACCGGCTACCATGGGACCGCATCTCCTTACGATGCTCTATTTCCCTGTGGATCAGACCTTTAAGTCGAAGACTCCGGATGTGGCCCCCTAGGAAAACTACCTGCTTCGGTTTGGGCACCTGAGTAGTATCACAGCCCTCACACAAATCAAATGAGATTTGTATGGCGCATATATATTTGGTGCCTATGTGTTAAAATAAATAATAAAAAGAATAAGTTGTTTGAAGTATAGTAAAAATTGTAGGTGCTTGAATCGGTTGAGATATTATGATTATAAACCATTAGTACTCTAAACATATATACAATTATCACATGGTAATGAAAATATTCCCAAGTTTAAGCTGCCCATTTACTTTTAAGTGAGTTAAAACAGATATATGTAATAAAAGAACATCTCAAAACGAATAAATACGACTATTACAAAACGTCTGTTCCAAGAATGAAATGCATATCAATTAATACATTTGCCAATGAACTAAAAGTTTTATATTCTATGTTTTTACTTCATTGTCCAAACAGTAGAATGTAAAAAGAAATACAAAAACTGTGACCTAATCTTTGCAAACCAAATAATTTAACTATTAAACCAACACTTATAGAATGTATTATGCCTAATCTGATATTCGATGTACATTAATTTAAGCTATCGAAATGATCCCAAATATCTGACATTAGATTTCAACTGTTTTAGGAATTTTTCTGAGATCCTTAATTCTTAAACACAATGAACTGAAACTATTGTCATTTCTCAGTCAGTATCCATGAATTCAGTGAACATAAACTGACGAGTAAAGAGACAATTCCAGATAACAACATATATTATCAATTAAGGGATTTGACTAACAATAAAATCTACACTAAGATTGATTGGAGAGAAACAAAAAAGATATGCTAACTATTAACACTAAGAAAAACATCATCTTACCTTGTTCAGATTTGATCACGAATAAACCGAATGGTTCATCTAAATCAGGTCTTCTCAATGTTACAAATCGTGATAAAACAGTGTTATTCTGAGAATTAATACTATTATAAATATTTTCTTCTGCCCGATCATTTACTTCAACTGATCGTGTGGATAAAGAACTATCGATAGGGTGTTCATCAAATTGAACAGGATCAGAACTTGTATAATGATCATTTATATTTGAATTATTTAAGGCAGTTGCCAAATTTGGATTAGAATATCGTAATACATTACATAAACTACTTAATGTTCGACGTGCTGATCGTCTAATCACTTTAAATAGATCAGAACGTTCTAATTTTGACTCTAGAATTGTATCTTTTACATTTAAATTCTTATTGTTTTGTTCAATATCTAATTGTTTCACTTTTAAACTTCCAGTACTACTACGACGTGTAGATCGTTTTGTTATATCAATACTCCATCGGCTACGTCTTTTTAAAGAAACAGTTTGTTTTTTCAAACTAGATTGTGATGATGATAAACAAGAATTGGTGTTGAGAGAATTCATTGACGCATAATCACTTGTCGGGATTTGATTGATTGAAAAATTTAGTGAATGTTCTGACAATTGATCGTTTCTATTGATTTTTCGAATAGAAATAAAAGAGAATACCTGATTGAAAACATCTAACTGAATGGGGAATAAATGTAATATGACATCTGCTTAAATGTAAATTACTAAATTAAAATCCATGGTAAAACCTAGATGAAAAAATTGTTTCCATCAGATGAATAATCACTAAATATTCAAATAGTGGACATTTCTTTTTTTCTTTTTTTTGTATCCATGCCATAATCAGGGACTAGTGGATTAGTAGTTAAGGCATTCAAATTTCATCCTTTACGTCTTAATCTCGGGTTCAAGTCCGCCTACATCAGTTTGACAAACCGAACAGCCCTCACATGTGTGTGACTCAAAACTGACTACATGAATCTGCATACATTAGTTAACTTAAATTATAAATACTCAATAATCGGTCAGTTAAAAGTTCAGAAATAATGTAAGACTTGGCAGATATGTTCATCAGACCCTGTTACTGCACTTCGAATCAGTGCAGTTAACAACATACGAAGTAAAATTGTCCGAATAATAATGATATTTATGACAGAATACTAATAAGAATTCCGAGTATATATAAGAGTTATAACATACGATTCAAACTTAATAGTGAGGGTAAGAAAAATTGTGAATACATTTGCTTTATTTCATCTAATCTACAAAAAATAATTATGATTGTTGTATGAATTTCTGTCAGGCAATGACATTACTCCTAAAAAACTTCAGTCCAATAAACAATAACTCAAACTAATGAATGCTATACCATCAGTTTGATAGCCCCTAATCTTTTCTGACTTATTTATACACAAGCCATCAATACATGTCAGGACATACTAAGGTTATTGGTGCGTAAAACACATTTCAGATACCTAGGTCAATAAGGGTTAAAGTCTTTACTAATATTGGATTAAATCAAGGACACACTTCTCTTGGATTAGGATTCAGTGTTTTACACTTAAAATTTAGTCATTTAATGAAGTAACAATCTGTCGGATCATGTCAGTAACTGGTACACACGATTATGCAGTTTTATTATTATTATTATTATTGTCATTATTATAATTATTACTCTTATTATCATCAAATACTACTTGGTAACACCACGTCGATCAATTTTTCCTAGATACATTGCTAAAAAGAAAAATTAGACACAGTAAATCCTGTAAAAAGTGATTGCAACAAGTTATTTTATGAACAGACTATCTTTGTTTTTATTGATTACTATTGTCAATAGTAGACGTAACTCTGATATTCGTTTAATCAAATAACAGACAAATTCCAATATGATTGTACATTAGAATGAGGTTTTGTGGAGATTGTAGTAACTTAATAATTGAATTCATGAGTCTATTTAGGCTAGATCACCATTGAAAACTTGGAAGCACTGTACATGGATGCGCACTACTGAGGAGCCTTATACCAGGACGAAGCAGCCGTCTAATGCTTCCAAATTTTTAGTGGTGGTCTAGCTTAAATCGACTCATGAATTCAGCTATTTGATTATACATTCCTTAAACAAAATGAATTTCGAAGTGTTCGCATAAATAGTTTCTTTGGGAACCCCTTAGTATATTTTACATGTACTAACTGACTGAGTTAAAATTACCGTTCTAAGATCGGGAATTTTTCAATGTAACACAAAAAATCATATCACCAATAGACTTACCTATTCAGTAGATCCACATTCGGTGGTATACAGGAATGCTCTATGTTCTGTCGCTTTGCTGGTGTGGATTTATCTATCACAAATTCAAATATGATTAAACAACAATTTTTACATATCACAATTGTAAACTAAAATAACTTGGTGAATGTATTCAGCCTAGAAACTAATTAAATAAACACAAGTTTTTTTTAAATTTCAGAACCTTTTTCAAATAAATAACGCAGCTTATATCTGACTGCCATTATATTTGTAATCACTGAGTCATTTGAGTTTCAACTATAAAGTTCTAGTTTTGCATCCGTCTCCAGTGACGTTGATTTCGACAGTCGCTATAGCATAACTGTTTACATAGGAGTTTGGAGATTATGTAGAAAAGTTTACAGATTACGGTACAACTAAGAAGTTGTTAGCTACGAATGACATTTCGTAGATAATTTAATGAGTCTCCATACAAACAACTTTGAGATAATATAGGTAAGCTTGAAAAATCTATTTTGTTTCCAAAAAATGGCATACGATCCAGCTGATCGATTCTTTTATCAGGTGTCTTTATGGTTTGAAGACGGAGAAAACTATCAACAGCCTAGAAGAATATGTTCGAAATTTCAACTTTATATCCATTGTGACACCATAAATTTTAAGCTATATATTTATTTTATTTTATTTCAACACATAGATAATGGTACAAAGAGGCACCAAATACATATGCGCCACACAAATCTCATTCGATATGTGTGAGGGATGTGATACTGCTCAGGTGCCCAAACAGAAGCACGTGGTTTTCCTAGGGGGCCACATCCGGAGTCTTCGACTTAAAGGTCTGATCCACAGGGAAATAGAGCATCGTAAGGAGATGCAGTCCCATGGAAGCCGTTGACGAACTGTTGGTTCATACGCCATTTGTTCCTTCAGGATACTGGAGTCCAAGTGCACCATTGGTTTTGAATCCGGTTAAAGCGCCGGACATTTACTTTTCGTTCTCTCATTTTCGTAAACAACACCCCCGCCACGAGAAGGCAGTGAGTAGGACTTCCGTGGAAGAGGCTATATACACGTGGCCGTGTGAGAGCATTTCGAGAGGGAGAGCGGACTCTCCCCACTCTCGGCCGTACCAGAGCATTTGGGGGCAAGCTATATATAATTTACGCAAACCAACTTTTCGTTCGACTGGCCCAAAAACGGACTGAAATACCTCAATTTCACCATTACAGTCCTATTCGTTAATGATTCTGTCGAGAGAGAAAAAAACAAACTATTGATCAATCCTAACAGGATAAATTTCAAAATGAGTTTAAATATCTTACCATTACTCCAACTTAAATCTGTGAATCTTGGTGATTTTGTCAATGAAACACCATCTGTACTAACTCTTCTTTGTATATCTGGATTAGGACATATTTTTATTGTTTGACAAGAACATAAATCAGTTGGTGATGATGCAATCGAACTACTATGTAAAATCTTTTTTGATTCAGTTGCATCACAGTTAGTTGTCCTCCAACAATTAACATCATCAGTAATTGAACTATTACAAGGATTCTGTTCATTTCTCATGGACGTATTTCTAAAAGTGAAATATATATATGTATATATATGTATATATATATATATATATAAATACTTAGTATTTGGGTATTAGAAACCACCATAGCAACTATAATCGATACATAATTACGGGTTATATAAATGTAGACATAAATAGTGTGCGTATTCAATCCGTTTTTTTTTAAATTTTCGTTAAATTATTACATTGGAATCTATATTCTAACGAACATACTGTTCATTTAACTAACATATATAATATATATACTTTCTAACCTGTCATTAAATTCATGTATTATGAGATTAAATACATGTATGTAGTCACTGTGATTTATATATGATTTTAGAACCCAATATCATATTAAAATGTTTTTTGTTAAAATAATAAATGACCTAATGGTCTAGAGATTAAGCCTTGGTGTGCGAGACCGGAGGTCCTTGATTCGAATTACACGCACGAAGTCGTGGATGCACACTGCTGAAGAGTTTCGTATTATGATGAAACGGTCTTCCAGTGCTTGTAGGTTTGCAGTGCTTGTCTAGTTTAGAGCAACTCATGACTACAACTGTGCAAATGTAGAAAAAAAAACATTTATGACATTTGAACATGTCTATCTATTCATTTTTGAATAATAATGAAGCAATAGTTTTCATGATTAGATCCTATATCTTTTAATCAATGTATCTGTAAGATCCAAACCCTCCTTTCACCTATTTTAGTTCGATCATACCAGGGATCGAACTCAAAACCTTCAATCTCATTAAAGACGTTTAATACCCAAATAACCACACATTAGAGTATAAATTCACATTACAAATACCAATACACTTACAATTCAGATATATCTTGATTGCGTAATATATGCTTTGCTTTAATTGGTTGTCTTGTAGTTGGCATAATTGTGTTCAGTAATATTTGTCCATTTTTCATTGTTTTCAATTTCTCTTGTAATTTATTATTCTCTTTTTTTTGTTGTTCAATTATTGATATGGAATTTTTTTTTAAAAATTTATTAGAATTATAATTTTTCATCATGATAGTTGAATTCTCATTTTCAAATTTTGTTCCTAATTTAATAAATTCTTTATGTATATGTTGTACACCCATACGTGGATATAATGGACGATGATATAAGATATTTGATTCATTCATTTGTTTCAAAGGATTTTCTGATTAAACTATTAAAAAAGGATTATATGAAATCATTGTTAATTTGTTACCAATTAGATTAAATAGAGTACTTCTACAAGACTGGCAGGATCGTAATCCTGTACTCACTCTGGATGGTGAGTAGATAGAAGTAGTTGAGAAGTTCGTGTATCTAGGTAGCTGCATAAGTGCTGGTGGGGGTGTGAGTGATAAGATCAATGCACGTATAATGAAAGCCAGAGCGGCTTATGCCAATCTAGGCCACCTTTGGCGCCTTCGTGATGTTAGTCTGGCTGTAAAAGGTCGGATCTACAACGCGTCGGTGAGAGCAGTTCTGCTCTATGCTTGTGAAACTTGGCCTCTCCGAGTTGAGAATGTTAGACGACTCTCTGTGTTCGATCATCGCTGTCTCCGAAGGATTGCTGACATTCAGTGGCAACACCATATTAGTAATGCAGAGGTTCGGCATCGTGTGTTCGGACGCAGAGACGATAATCCAACTGGTGTCACCATCTTGAGACATCGACTTCGGTGGCTTGGACATGTTCTACGAATGTCGTCCCAGAGAATTCCACGCCGTGCATCGTTTGCCGACTCTGGGACTAGTTGGAAAAAGTGGAGAGGTGGTCAGTGTATGAAATGGTGTCGTGGTATGAAAGTAAGCTGCAAGAGGGCTGGCTTGTGTTGGACCTTCACGACTCCCTGGTTGGGGTCCTAGAGGTGGTGCAACACAGTGGCTGGAGACGTTATCAGATATGGCTGAGAATAGAAGCCAGTGGCGATCCTGCTGTAATCTTCTTTTACTTTCTTCATGAAAAGTGACCGTAACTTCTTAACTGAGAAAATTATTTCTGGTTGTACCTTTCTGTTCCCTCCCCCTCCATTATGATTATTTCACTACCATACACTAATTTGTGTTCGTTATTGTTCTTTTTTTTTACATGCGCCTTACATTCTTTATCTCTTCCCACTCTCATTATTATTGTGTGGCGCATATGTATCTGGTGCCCCATCGTACCAATATTTGTGTTCAAACAAATAAATCATAATAAAAATTATAGAACAGGTAAAGTAATTTGTGAACATTATTCTTCATTAATTAATATCTGTCATGAATCTATCAGGATTATTTTTTTATCATTTATTTAAACACACAAAGATTGATACAAGGTGGCACCAAATATATATATATATATATATATATATATATATATATATATATATATATATATATATATATATATATAGGGCACACTTTGACATTCAACTTGTGTGAGAACTGGAATACTGTCCGGGAGCCTAAGCTGAAGCAGGTGGTTTTCTTCGGGGGTCACTCCCGACCTAGAGGTCTAATCCACAAGGAAGTGGAGGAACGGTGGGAGACGCAGTGACCAACGCCGGTGACCAACAATAGGTTTATGTGCCACTTGCCACCTCAGGATCCTGGAGTATATATGCATCATTGGTTTGGAATCAGAGTTTTCCAACTCCCCCAGGTGGATCGTCCGTATCCACCAATCCTGTTAAAGCGCCGGACATTCGCTTTTTGTCCTCTCAATTTCTTAGGTAACACCACAATTGAGAGGGGGCATTGAGTAGGAATTTTTATTTATTTATTTATTTAAACACATAAACATTGGTACAAGGAGGCACCAAATACATATGCGCCACATAAATCGAATGATTTATGTGAGGGCTGGGATACTGCTCGAGTGCCCAGACCTAAGCAGGTTATCTTAGGGGGCCACACCCAGAGCATTTCACCTAAAGATCTGACCCACAAGGCAGTGGAGCATCGTAAGGAGATGCAGTCCCATGATTACCAGTGACCAACTATTAGTTCATATGCTATATGTTTCCGCAGGATACTGGAGCCCATGTGCACCATTGGTTTGAAATCTGGTTAAAGCGCCGGACATTCGCTTATCGTCCTCTCAATTTCGTAAACAACACCCTCGCCACAAGGCGGTGAATAGAACTTCCCTGACAGAGGCTGTATACGCGTGGCCGTGTGAGAGCATTTCGAGAGGGAGAGCGGACTCTCCTTACTGTCGGCCGTACCAGGGCATTCGGGGGCGAATCTATGTCCGTACAGTGAACCAGAACTTGAGTCTGGGGTCACATTAATAGCCAACAAGATTTTGATAGATGTTTCGTCCCAGTATGGGTCTATTTAACAGTGTTCACAGACGAGTTCATCAAGGATAAAACACAAGATCTTCAAATTGGCAATAAAATTCTAACGATTATGTTTTCAGAGTTATTAACTAATGATAATCACTAAAGCTCTTCAAATTTGAATAAATAACAATTAGAATTCTTAATAATAACTATACTATCATGACGGTATTATCATATTTTAAATAAAATTGTAAAATCTTTAAGAATCAACTGTAACAATTATTTGGACTTAATGGATTAAAACCATGAACAATATAACACAAAATATAAATTATTTTGATTAACCTCAAATGCAAAATGATGTAATATGAATTAATTCAGATCAAGAGATTTGAACTTGTCAACTAAATGGAAACCTTCATATTATCGATGAACAATATGGATTTGTATTAGAATGAATGATTAATGACTATCAAGGAAATACCTATGTCGGTATTGTTTGGCTTGTATCTTCCCATTGAGGTTTAAGATTGCAATTAATCAGCCTATTATTGGCATATGTGCATACTGTGCGTATGCCTCGATATTGCCTTAATTCACAAGCTTTTTGTAAGCAATGATGGATAATGGCTAACAGTGGAATCCAGGACGCACGTCTCGTCCTATTTGGGACTCGTCAGCTGGCTATTACGACTCATTAGCTGAGTGAATAACGCGATGGCGTTTGAAGTGAATGGTACTGGGTTCGAGTCCCAGATTGAACATTAATTCTGAGATGATGAGTCCCAAATAGGACGAAACGCGCGTCTTGGATCCCACTGCTAGCCACTATCAATACCTAGGTCGGTTATACTAATATCGTTTTTTTTAAGACAAGAATCCCAACGGAAAACGTTTTACACTGATCCAGAAAGCCATTTACACGTCCAACAGGTGTGATGTTTATATCATGATTTAATAAACGTTGAAATTATCTTGTTACTGATAATAGAGACTAAATTTTGAAGTCTTTTGCCAATATTCATAATTCGCTTATATTGAAGGTCTACTTCTAATAAGTCACAGTTATTAGCCAACATTGTTTATCTGTTTTTATTACTATCGCAAGGGATTAATACTCATTCTTATAAATTGTTTCTATAGAAGTTTTATTACTGATCAATTATTTGTATGTATATAACATGTCAACCCACAGAAATGTTTCAATAAAATTGAAAATAGCCATAATACAATGAATGAACTGTTTAATGTAACGGTTAAAGTATGTAGGTTTCTCTATGTTTTTTCTAGACTTAAATATAACTAGTTACTTGAAGATAGCGGTTATTAAATTGTGATATTCATGTTTAAATTATATTTGTATTAGGTGATAATATCAGGGATTAACTGATTACAGAAGGTCAATGATGACTTTAATAGGTAATTAAGGATTAAATTAAACGGGATCTTGACAACTAAACAAATGTACTTATGAGTTTACTTATTAGTTGATGAAAGAACTTTTTCTTCAAAGGTCATAAAAATAACGACAGTTAATGGATTCAAGTAATCATTTCGACCGAAAGTTGTTTTAAGTGTTACGATCAATATGAAAATGATTCATTACTGAGTAGTTACAAATGTTCCGTTTATAAAATCTATGCTTAAATGCTCGATAATTGAGGGTGGTTGGAAAGAAATACTGGTTCTAGGTTTATTGCCTACTGCAACTCATCAATAAGATGTATATCGAATCCGACAGGATCCATACCTTACTGATTAGTTTCGACGAAACTTGGACCAAGTAAGATTATCTGAAGACTACTTCAAACTGCATAACATTAGGTCGAATATTATTTTGATAGTAATTTAAATACTTAAAAATCCACCAATTAAATAACGTAATTTCTTATTGTAAGAGTAACATTAATTAGATTTAGGATTGATTGGTAGGAAAGGTTTCGTTGTCGGTACTCGATTGTACAGTGTATTGATATTCGTAATTCATCTAGTGGAAATGAAACCTGTAAATGAAAATATTGATTAACAGATAAATATCAAGTATAAATATGTAGTTTACTCATGCATAATCCGACCGGTTGCATGAATATTGAATACTTATTCACTATGTGTTTCCCTAATCGTAACCAGTGGTCATATTTGTTTTTATAAACTTTCAGTGGTATCCGTTTTTATTTTTAGTTCTTCTTTAATTATATTAGTAAACCATATAGTACTTATTCGATAACCAAGAGCTTCTATTAGATCTCTGTTGTACCGTAACGGCACAAAGCTAATGAAACGTACATACTATCCTACACTATTCTGATGGGTGATTAAGAAGGAATTTAGTCAGGAAAAGTATCTGAAAAGTACAATATGAATTCCCATAGCTTTTTATCTCAACAACACATACAACTTTCAAATAGGAACTGATAAAGAAGTTATTTAAACTATAGAAAATTGAAGAAACAATTGTCATCTCTATTCACATAGTAAACTTAACAAGCTGTCCAATATGAGATCAAATATCTGGATAGAAATGATATAGACAGTAATGAAAATTAAACGTTAACAGTATATTAATAATTTTTGTTTAAAATAATCAAATAACTACTCTTTCATAATTTCAGATCCCTAAACACTCTGATATTAATTTATTGACCTTCAACATTTCTATTCCTACTATAATATAACTGGACAGAGTTTTAACCTCGATACTATTAAAGTATGTTATTTGAAATTGTGATAATTGTTTACTATTATAAGTAGTATAATTTCAACAGTTTAAACGATTACAAACAATTCTGATGATAATAATAATAAAACATGTTTTACGGATTATCTAAGGATTAAGGAAAGAACATCGTGTTGTTTATTGATTTATTACTGTTATACGGATT